ATCGGCCGCGAGACGGAACGTGTTTGGCGCATCATTAAGCGTGATGTAGACGAATGGTTTGAGAGTCGTGGTGGGGATGATGAGGGACCGGAAAAGCGTCTTTTGGTTGGGACACCTGGTATAGGGAAATCAATGGGGACTGGCTCGTATCTCCTCTACCAACTGCTGCACTATGACGAGGAACTGCTTGCAGTGGTTGCATACGTCATTAAAGATTACGTGTTTATCTTTCACAAAGCCAGAGGTGAAGNTATCAACTGCTGCACTATGACAAGGAACGACTTCCTTTTGTTGCATACTTCATTGGTAAAAAAGTGTATATCTTTGACAAAACCAAAGGTGAAGAACAAGGACGCGTGAAGTGCTACGAAAGCATTGAAGATGGAGAGAAGGCTGTGGGACGTCTCTCTCATACTGTGAGGGGATATATAATTTACGATGTAGCAAAGCAAGGAAGTGAGCCGTCACTGGATTTACCTTCAAAAGGATGGGGCATGTTTGTTTTGAGCTCTCCAAACAAGGACAACTTCAAAGGATGGGAGAAGCAGTGGGGAGCAAGGCGTATCATAATGAATTGCCCTGAGACGAGTGAACTAAAGGCGAGGTGTGTGTGGATTAACCGCGATGAACCAGAGGAGAAGCAAGAGAAAGAATGGAGAGAAATCGAGGAGCGTATAGAGCATATAGGACCACTTCCCCGCCACATTTTTACTGAAGATGATTTCAGTAAGCGTGTCGACGAGATTGAATTGGCATTGAAGGAAATCACCCAAACAAACGCTGATACGTACAGGAGCTTAAGTAGTAGCACTGGCTCGCAAGGGGGGAACCCGTGCCACAAGCTTGTGAATATCGTACGGGGCAATCAGTGTTCCAAATCCGAGGTATGCGACAACGAGCCACTTTCACAAGCAATATTCGTGGATATAATGGCTCGGGTGTCTCACCTTTCTATTTCATATACAGTCCTGCAGGCCATCATGATCCCCATTGATAGAATGTTGCCTATCGCCTTGGAAATGCTTGGAGTTACTTCGTTTATTTACAGAACCTTCGTTGATTCTGTATCTAGGAAACTGACAACGATTCCTCTCCCATTGAACCGAGCGGGGAGAGATTGCATTTTGAAATTGAGCAGCGGGGTACATCCTACCCGGGTAGGGGTTATACCGCTCCTTTCTGAGTTAAATCAAAATCAAAATCAAAATCGAAATCAAAATCGAAATCAAAATCGAAATCAAAATCAAAATCAAAAGCCATCAATAGAAGCTGGTGTGCTGTATATCCCAAAAAGCAGAAACTTCCCAGTGGTAGATGGTTTATTTTTTGTCGAAACAGATAATCAACGAAGGATGATGGTTTGCCTCCAGACGACTATTTCAGCGGCACACGACACAACGGCTAGTAAGGTGGTGAGCTTTATGAAATATATGAGTGCTGCATTTGATAATTGGGGAACATACTCAGAAAACATGTCCTGGGAGATCATTTACATACAGGCAACAGACAGTTCGACTTTAGATAGATGGCAACGATGTGATATTTCTGAACAACCAGCCACACATGAGGAGAATAATGCAGCCGAATTTTGGGAAGCGAATGTTTTTCAATACGCAGTAAAAATATCAACTCAAGATTTTCCTCTTGAATTGCGCTTGTGAGATGATTTGTGACTCAGTTTAGGTGTTCGTAGTGTTTTTTTGTCTTTGTTTGTGGTGTTGCTGCAACATGCCTGACAAGTTGTTTTGGCGTCCGTGAGGTGCTTCGGTTCGCATTGCATTCGAGGTATTTTGTAGCCTTGGGGTGGGGAATACCGGCTTCACTCTACCTCTGCGTGTTTTTTTTTTGGGGGGGGGATATCACATTCTTATTTCCTCTCTGTGATTTATCCAGTAATGGCCGTACGATGAGGTTCTGTTTGTCGACTTATGCGTCTTCTCCGATATAACACCGTGTGCGTGTCGATTAGGCCGTGCGATATGGTGGCAGAGGCACGTTGCTGTAGTCCCCAGTGGAGTGGTGTGGTGAAGGCTGCCAGGGAGATGTGTGAGTGGTTTTCTTGGGTTGCTAGGATGCAGAATGCGCTCACTTTTTTTCTTGAATCCCTGAAGTTGCAGCATTCGTTGAACACCGGTTTTCAGTTTACAGCCCTTGAATTCCCCTCTTACACGGTAACCTACGTAATATTGCATGGGCGCCTTTCGTGCGTGCAGCGGTAGAGATTCGTTTCGCAGGGTGACACGTGTTTCTATGGGGGAGAATGAATTCTGATTCTGCCAGTGTGCAGTGCGCCCCCCCTATACTCGTTGTCCTATTTCCATTACTGCCATCGTACTGTCGCAGATTTGGGGCATCCGTATTGTTGTTTCGACTGCATGCTCTTCTTTATGTTCTTCCCGCTTTGCATGGCATTAGTCTTTTTTTCCTGCAAGAGAAAATACGAC